TATTTTTTTTTTTTAGAAAAGATTTTAACTTTACAGGACGATGTCAACTTGTGTGATCATGCCTTAATTGGAACGTTTAAAATCATTTCAAGTTTCTTTGTTTCAATTAATTCAAATTTATGAAACTGAATCATGCATGTGGAATGAAATTGTAAAAGATATTTTTTAAAGGGAAAATTGTGTAAATGGGTCAAATTTGATTTGATTTTGTCCTACTATCCCTTTCTCTATTTTTACCTAATTTACCTTTTTGACATATCTAATAAATCATTAAAAATAGTTTTAACAGCCAAAAAAATTAGGAAAATTCAAAACAATAAAAAAGTCACTGGGAAAAATATAGGTATATTTTTTTGATTTTAAAAATATGGTTAGCTTTGTTCATGTAAAAATAGGTATATTTTTTTGATTTTTGATTTTAAAAATATAGGTATACTTCATGTAAAGCTTTGTTCAAATTTAATTTAAATGAAGAGTCACCTGCGGATTCAATTAATGGAGAAGATGAAGGAAGTTTGGGTTTTGATTATGTGTTAAAGCAATGGTTTTTTTTTGGTCTGTTGTGACTATGATTGAAGTATTTTTGACATGATCCTTATATTTATGGATAGATGAAGTTTGAGGGAGTCTGTGAAACTTTACAGTGTGTCAATAGGAGTTTCGATGCATTNGCAATTTGCTCTCCAATTTTCGCAAAACTCATATCAAATTGCTATTTTCTGCAAACTCAGAAAATTAAGATAAAAAATCTCCAAAAACAAGAAAAGTGGGGGTTCCCCCTTCAACAATGAGAGAAAACTAGGATAAATATCTCTCAAACACGTTTTTTTGCCAAGAAAACACGTTTTGATTAAATAAAATAGGAGTTGGTGAGCTGATTTTTTCATATTTTTGGGCAGTTTAAGGGACTGGATCGATCGATCCATCTATCATCTTCAATTTGGGTCGATCCGCAGGTCATCCGACAAAAAATGGATAATATGATCGACCGATCCAGCTATGTTCTGCACTTGCTTCTTTTGCTCGCCAGACGGAACTATCTTCACTAAACCTTTCATAACTTTTGATCGCACCGTTAGAATGATCTCAAATTTCTTCCAAATGATAGCTAACTCGATTCCCTAGCATGTAGCCAATTTTCAGCTCGATCCATCGNTGTAAAANTCATCAACAAGTACCCAACTTTTAACCATTTTCTGCATCTTTGCTTCCATTCCTTGTTCCTTTGGTTTTTGGCCTCNAAAGTGCCTATAAATGACTCAAAGACTATGCAAATGCAATGAAATGTAATCTAAAACTCTATTAGGAAAATTGTGTTTTGGAGACACGGTGGAGCAGAGCTTGGTGTAAAAGCAGGCGGAGGAGAAGAGAAGGAGAGAAC